TATAAAATATTTATTAAACAGTATTTTTTTACCTTTATCTAAGTTAAGGTTGGCACTTAAAAAAAAAATAGGCGCAATAGGTATTTTTCGTCCGTTCTCCTCTAATAGAATAAATATCGTCCCATAACAACTTGTAGGTAACAGTTTTAGCTTATTGTTAGGATTCCATCTTCTATTGTATTTTTTATCTGTAGTTTGGGTAATTGCGCAGGAATATGTGGCGACATTGAGACGCGACTAAAATACTTATTTTGAAGGTATCGGGCTGTGTGGCAATCAAACCTTGTAAAAGATTTAACACCAGAATGTATTAACTATTATTACGATTGCAAAAGTAAAAAAAATAAACAATTTAACTTTTCCTTCTTCAAAACTTGCTGAATAAAGGTCTCTCTCATATGAGCAGATCGAGAGAGCGAGATGGGATAGTTGAATTTAACATTTATTTATTTACCACTTCATGTACAAATATCATATAATGGCGCACTTTCAATAATAGTACCTAGGTACAATAAGTAAAATAATTATTTAAACAACCACCTTTTTCTAGTTGGTGTACATTGGCAACCCTGATGACGTCACAATAATCAAACATGTGCCTACGGCGACGTATGCGTTCCCAGTATTGTGTTGTTATACCTGCTTTGAAGAGTTCCAATGAAATCGCTGACAAAAACATCTATTACTTGTTTGCTAGTTATTGAACCACCTTCTAAGATTCTAAGATGTATTTTGTATTTATTTTGTTTATTATCGTAGGAATACAATTACTTATGCATGATATAACATTCATTTGATTTTTTTTTTTTTAAGGGGGGAAAATCATCGAATGACTGCTCCCGTCTGGGTGAGGCGGGAGGGAGTGTCAGACTCTTACTGACTAAAAACCACCCCGTTCCTTCTCCTGCACGTCGAGCCGGAGCCCCGGTTACCCGTTAGGTTCTCCGCGACAACATTCATTTGATAAAACGTTGTTATTATACATTGCTTTGTTGACCAGGTTACAAGTGCAACTACCAAAGGTTTAATTCCCGCATCGGGTAAAGTATTATTATAGTCTTGTCAGTTTACTTTTTCAAAAAATTCTCATTTAGTCTACAGATATCTCTTAGCTTCTCAGTCCTTATTTCGGGAGTCTAGAATTGTGTCCTATATTTTGGCATTAAATAATCGTATCGTATTACATGGGACTCATAAATAAAATACCGCGGAAAATAGATGGCACTGTTTGCATTATACAAATACAGTTCACCTCCTCGTCAACTACACAGTTTATATCAATACAAACTAAGAGGTCCTTAAACCATGTCTTAGTATGTAGTCAGTTACCAGGCTATCACTTAAAATACGAAATGGAGATACAATTTAAATGTAACATAATAAATATTTGCTACAACAGTCGGTACTAATGTAAATACTTACTTGTTTATCAAACTAACGTCAGTCTAAGTAGTTTCTATTACCTATTTATATTTTCGTAATTATGTATGGATGAATATAATATGCAGCACGAATTTATTATTCTGCTGTGAAATAATTTCACAAACACATTATTTGTTGGTTTATTATACCTACTATACGTAAGTACATGAGTATGGTATACAAAAATGATATCTAGAATCCATGAATTTTGAACATGTGACACTGACAGACACTGACAAAAAAGCACACGGCCCACCTAATGATAAGTGGATACAGCGGCCTATGAAAGCTTGCAACCCTTTGCAATTAAAAATAGTATCACTTTTCTAACAAAATAAAATGTTAGGTAATTTACAGCATCCTAGAATGCATTAAAATACTTAAACAAAACGATTTTTTTTTAGTCGACCTACACTTAGGGCTATATTTTACCGGGACACCATGGCATCGCAACCAGTCGCCGCCACCAACTAAATGTATACTCTACTCTGTAGAGTTACTCACCTGCTGTCCTCTTGGTTGCTCAAATAAAGCTCTTAGGATATAAACTGTCAGTTTTTATTTATGACATTGATGGAATTTGTTGATAAACGGATGATAAAAAGAAAAATGTAAATTGTATACTGATCAATGACGACTGACCACACACAGTGCTCAAATATTATTTATTTGCTTGCAATAAATACTAAGATAAGTTTTGTATATTAATTTGTTATCTTTATTTGTGTTATGAATTTGAAATTCACTGTTTATATTTCATAACGCCTATTACTGTCACATACACGACGCTTAAAAAGATAACACTGTGCACAAGAAATATAGTTTTCTTTTGTTTACAGCAAATAAGATAGGTACATTAATAAATGCACTATACTGCAAAGGATACCTTTGCAGTATATTGCACCTAGTTGCACCACCTAGTGCAACTGCCGACTGCCTCGTTGGCGGAGTAGTCGCAAGTGCGACTGCCAGGCAAGGGGTCTCGGGTTCAATTCCCAGGTCGAGCTAAGTATTACTGGGATTAAAAAAAAATCTCAGTAGTAGCATGGAGCCTGGAAATATACCCGGTATATGGCAATAAGCTCACCCTCTATTACATAATACTCGTAACAAAAATAGTAAAAAGTGGGTGTTATATTATACAGTAGCATTAAGTGCCATAATGTGCACCTCTACCTTCGGGGATAAAAGGCATGATGATGCTATGTTATATTTTGATACCTTTAAACCTACTACGCAAACCTAATTATTATAAATATTTCCTAGATATTTACCTAAACACTTACAAAATAAGGTGCTTACCCATATTTTTAGCTTCATTCCTCTATTAATATAATTACCACACAACATAGTAACACATTTGAAACAATGTACCAATTTTATAAGCACATTATTTATGAGAAAACGTTAAGTATTAATAAGAAAACCATCAACATACCATTTCTGACCTGCGACACTGATCGTTGATATTGCCTGCTGTCATGGCGGTCGATTTGATAGGCGGAATCAATTTGCAGATCAGACGGCAAATCAATGTGGCTACGAAATATATTGCTTGGGTCATAGGTCAGTTTATTGTAAATTCTGCTTGATAAAATGTAGAAATCTTAAGAGTATGGTTACTACTTAGCAGTATAGAGTTACACTAACGCTTCTAGTGGCGTGAAGCGCTTAAAGGAAGTAAAAAGTCGCTTTAGAAAGGCAAGCAAGCAAAAAAATTAAATTTTAAAACGCATTGGTTGTCGGTCTCTTGGTGAAGCTATTTGTTCATTTGGAATGCAAAGGAGAACGAGTAAGGCACAGAGGGCTTAATCGAAACGAGACCGCGTTCGAACCTCTGATTGGATAGTGAATTGCAGCTGGCCAATCACAGCGCCGAACGCGGTCTTTTTCGATTACTTTCAACTTAAAACAAACTCGTACTGAGGCCTCTGAAAGAACTGTAGTTTCTTGTTTTAACTCGTCGAGTACCGGTTTTGCAGACACAATTATAGAACAATAGGTTGCGGTCACCGGTGACCGCTTGGTATTTGACAGTTTAACTCGTCGAGTACCGGTTTTGTAGACACAATTATAGAACAATAGGTTGCGGTCACCGGTGACCGCTTGGTGTTTGACAGTTTAATCAGTTTCACAAAACATATTTTGTTTAATTGAATAATGTAGTAAGAAGAATTTTCTATGAATTCGTATATTTACGCAATGACGTTAACCGTTTCTTTAAACATTTAGGTAAATACCAAATTACGGGAAAAGTGACGTAGATTAAGATGTTAATCAAGTTGGAATTACCGCTAAACCACTCCCAGAGCATTTGCCAACGTCAAGATAAAACTTGAACTGCATTTTATTCAATTGAGGCAAAGAAACGAGTGACGTGAATACGCGTCATCAGAAAACCTGATCCCGCCTTAAAATGGCGTCCACCAAACGTATAGTTTTCCACATTTGTTTTTTTGTACTACCTACCTAAGTATTTACTTGCTGCAATAAATAATAATAGTGGATCTGTAGAACTACATGTTAATAAAATTAAACTATCAAACACCGCGAGGACACCGGTGACCGCAACCTATTGGTCTTTAATTGTGTCTATAAAGACGGTACACAACGAGTTAATGTAGAACCTGACAAGAAAATGTTGACAACAGCATCCTTCGGAATGCATTCTTGGGTTTACACTACTAAACTGCAACACCGCTTTAAATGAATTATAGCAAAAATATAAATGGCCACCAAGAAATTTACCTATTTATAACAAAGTCATAGGTAACTTCACTAACGTAATAGTTATAGACATAATTGTGTGTATATTAATGAATACCTATAGGTAATACTTATTAGCAGGTGACCTAGTCTTGTGTAGATATTTTGGTCTTACGCTATGATAAAAATGCATGACATTCATTGACTGCTCAATACACTAATTACGTATGGTAAAAATATCTCATTGATCCATTTTATGGTCTGCAGCCAAGTAGGAACTATTGTGATATGCCTTGTTACTATACTTACCTAAGTATGTGTATTATTTAATAGACGGGTACTTCATACCGTGACATTGGACATTATCCGTAGTTACATGTATTATGTATGTGTTCAAGTACATAGGTAGCAGGTACATAAGCACGTTAATTACTAAGGACTCGATGTAATGCTAACAATGTTATTACTTACACCGCTTAATAGATAGCCGCCATGGCAACAATTATCTAAGTCACAGAGACAATAATGTAATGTACCCCATCACAAATCTGAGTCACAAGTAGATCGAGTTTGAACCAGACGTGACGTTATGTAAGATGTAACTAACCTCCGCAATCAACGTTTGTAAGTCACGCGACAAGCGAAGCTGTGCTGCCAAACTATGCGAGAATTGGCACTTGCATTCACAATATTACGTAACAATTTTTTTATTCATCTACTTTTCTACGGTACTTAACTGTCTTTCGAAAAGCGATTTGTTCTAGAAAAGTGAAACTAAACGCCACCTTTATTAATGTAATTGAACACCTAATAAAATAGCGAAAAATGATAATCGTAGCACACAATAACGTTATTCTCTTTTATTGTTTCAGACATAGCCGTGACGTCAGGAGACCGGCTAGAATTTTTTTTAAGTAATGGAACTAAATCCCAAACAGAAGACTCACAGTTCAGAGACCTCACACTGTTAGCTTACGATGCAGTGCACAACATGTTACTGTTTGTCGACAGACAGAGCGACAACGCATCTATATTTAGTTTTAACATTACAAGCAAAAAGTACCAATCTTTAGTTGCTAAGAAAGCATATGAAAATATCCAAGGTTTGGCCTTTGACCCAGTAAAAGGTTTGCTCTTCTGGACTGACACAAACGACAGAAGTATATACTGGATTTCATTAAAGCCTGGATATAAGAACCATCTATACGGCAATCTTTTGATCAAAATGGATGATGAGCTTCCCAGAGCCATTGCAGTGGACAGCTGTAGAGGGTACGTTACTATATTTGTATAATTGAATATCTAACATTTATTGAATTAAACAATAGCTAATAGTTATTTACTAATTGCAGGTACGTCTACTGGACTAACACAAACGTTAAGAAGCCTACAATAGAAAGAGCTCTCTACGACGGCACCAACAGAGAGGTCATAGTAGACAACAACATTTTTATGCCAGTTAGCTTGGCTATTGACCAGCAGACGAAGAAATTGTACTGGGCTGATGATAGAGAAGGTATTCATTATTCTATTGAGAGCGCAGATTTAGATGGAACGAACAGAAAAACGTTGTTAACTGGAATACATCATCAGCCGAATACATTGACGGTCTCAAAGGACTCCATCTACTGGGTGGACTGGGGCTTCAAATCCGTATGGCAACTACCGAAGAACCCGCCGATAGAGCCGGAGCCTGTGCAGATTAGTAACTTCAATCCCGAGACACCTTTCGGAATTGCTGCTAATTATAAAATTGAAGATCAAATTCAAGGAATTGAGGAATGCAAAGCACTAAAGAGTCTGCCTCAAAATAACTCTGAAATAAGTGACTCTTTCAACATTCCTAAGGATGTCGGCCTATTTTGTGTTCACGGTACTAAAGTTAATGGGAAACTGCTTTGCAAATGTACGCTTGGGTACACTGGTGACAGATGCGACATTTCAGTCTGCCAGAACTATTGTTTCCAAGGAGATTGCGGTGTCAATGACGTAGGAAAACCAGAATGCAGGTAAACATCAGTCGGTCAGTCCTGATGGTTAAATTCGAGTCGTGTGTTCACTTCTTTTATAATTATTTCTTTTTTAGATGTAATTCTGGTTACTCTGGACAGAGATGTGAAGTCAATGAGTGTCATGGTTATTGTCTGAACAATGGAGCTTGTTCTTTGAACGAGAAAAATGAACGCGAATGCCAATGCATAGGAGACTTCGAAGGGTCAAGATGTGAGACACCTAAAGTGTTCACTACCACTACAACTTCTACCACTTCCACGTCAACGTCTACACCTACGACTACTACTACGGATGCACCAGTTATGGCAGCAGAAACTAACACAAGTTGCCAGTAAGTTTAAAAAGTAACATGCATAACATAATATTACATTCTTACATTATTATCAACAGATAGTGTAGCGATTATATTGAAATGATACCTGCCACTGCTCAAACGACGAAACCATCTAACAATGTTACGTTTACTTTCAAATTGTCCGTAACTTTACTGTTTATTTCTTCTTTCAGGTGCAATAACACTGATTCAGAAGTTGTATCAAGGTCATCAATATCGATGTCTTCGCAAAATGATATCATAGCGACCTGCGGTGACGGCTGGGACTCCGTGAGAGACCCTATCATCATAATTCTGGCGATCATCTGCAGCGCGCTATGTTTAGCTTGCGTAGTACTTATCACAAAAATTCTGCAGCTGAAGAAGAGACCGAGGTAAGTCATGATCTTGATCAATAAGTCTACGTGCTCCTGGCTACTTCCTTAGATTTCCTTTGATCTCCCTCTAACTGCGAAAGATGATACTACATTTTAACTTAGACATATTGTTATTGAGCCAAAATAAAATCGTGATTTTAATATGCAGTTACAGAACCATTAATAGTAAAAATAGGTGCACTTAAATAACTAAAGTAATGGAGATTTTTATGATGTGGTTTGTACGTGCTAATACAGTAATACTGACCTTCTGCAAACTGTAATGCATGCAGAAATGCAGATAGGTACGTATGCATACACAAAATGTATGTATAAGCATATAACATACACGTTTGCTAGGGTTGTCGATTATCATGAATCCGATACCAATTCGTATAAAAAGTTCTTGCCATCCTTGCCTTCAATGCCTTTGTAAGTTAACAATTTTTGAAAACATAGATTTCTTGTACGTAGATGGTGCAACTGGCATTTAATATTCCATTATCCTAAACGATAGGCAGCTAAAAGTAAACGAAGTTACTCGTACCTCACTAGGGTCTCAGGTCAAAGAAGGGCGTACCTCAAGGTTCCATATTGGGTTCTTTCTGCTTTTTGTATTGACAGTTCAAACGCTATAGTTTGTCAATCTTTTATTTTACTAACAGTAACTATGAAACTAAAGATTTATATTCTGTAATTATGCAATGTTATATTATTACTAAAGAAAAATTAACACAGTTACTGAGAATGACGTAAATTTGTTTGCGTTTGCGCATTGATACGCCCTTCAAATTAATTTCTGTATCCTTGCCGCAAAATTTTAATATTTAGCATTTCCTATTTTTAAACTTTTAATTTAACAAGTCAATGTAAGACTATTAGATAACATTTATTCATAGCGAAGCAATTAAATTCATATAATACTGAATTTCTAACGACATAACACCTTGTTATTTTTTCCTGTTAATTATTATTAACAACACATTCCAAAGACATATCTATTACAGAATAGTGTTTTATACGTATATGTTAGGAACACGCCAAAATAACCAAAAATAACGTATTTATTAATTTAGGATAGTCTCTATGTGGCTCTTTCGCGTAAAAACTACTAACTTCACCAATTCATACTCTGACACGTAGACTATTTTCTATACCTAGAACGCGAGAGACTCCGCTGGTAGAAGCTAGTCTACGGTGACTGCACGGTTGGGCAATCGTTTGCTACGTAACGTATATGGAGTTCGATTCCCGCACGGAGCAACTCTGTGTGATCCACAAATTCTTATTGTGGGTCTGAGTGTCATGTGCATGTGAAATTGTATGTTTGTAAACGCACCCATCACACAGGAAAAAATCCAAATGTGGGTTGCCCATGTTTTAAAAAAAAAATATAATAATAATATGTACCAACACCCTCTATTATTATTTTCAGAATCAAGAAGCGTATAATCGTGAACAAAAATGTTACGCCGATGACAGCAAGGCCTGACCAATGCGAGATCACCATTGAAAATTGTTGCAACATGAATATTTGTGAAACTGTAAGTATTGCACAAACCTTATAATATTTTACTGCATAATAGGGTAGTTTCCTAAATTTTATTTTAATGTCCGTCTGGTAGATTGATTTTCTATTCTCACAAAATTAAATACTTTCGACGATATATTTAATTTAAATATCGTGTGACATCACAGCGTGCCACATTTTGTAGCACGTTATGACGTAACGACCTCCCACTCCTAAACTTAGCGCCATTTTATCTAAGTATTGCAATTTTATACGAGAAAATAAAAAATACGTGTCTAATATTTTTTCATTATCTACCTGACGGACTAATTAGATTTTTAATTTTCATACCCTGGAAACTATCCAATTCTAGTAACAAAACTTTATGAAGATATATATCAAAGAAACAAAAGCTATTTCTTTGCAAACAAAACAAAAAAGCAAAATACAAATTTTTATTCAAATTAGTGTAGCCGTTTCGAGGTGTAATTTATTTGACAAATTCTAGTAATTTATTTGACAAATCTAAGGTGATTGATATTGAACAAAGTAATTAACTAGCAGTATACAAATTAATGTTCCGTAAGAAAATATTCAAAAAAAATTGCGTTGACAACATAAAACATTAAATTAATATTCATCAGCCAATATTTGGATGGAAGTGAAAGACAAAATATTAAAAACATCTGGCAAACTGTTTTTATCGACACCTAAATAAATACTTGTAATTAAAATATGCAAAACAAACAACTTGAACAATTTATATGCGATATTCATTAAAAATGAAGTTTTTACTTTTCCTTAATACAATAAGTCGTTGAATATTTGACGATAATTAAGGTTTTTTAAGACTTACATGTCATATATAAAAGAATTACTATCTTTTTGCAATAATTTATTGATAGATGTTAGTTTTTATAAGTACGTCTGTGTTTTTTTTCACAAATCGTTATAAATTTCTAAAAACAATTACATTACTACTTTTTACTTACATTTTTTTGGACTTACTTATCTGTTACGGAAAAAAAGATATAAATACACCTATAAAATACCTATGTATGTATATTTTTCACACAATGCTGCTTACCCCACCCCAACAAGGATTGATATATGTCTTAATAATGAGATAGATAGCATTAATTGCCGTGTTAAACGGCACGTAGTATTTTAATAGATAGTGTTACCAAAATAACAGACTATAATCAGCATGATACGCATAAGGCATAAGATAATTAAATCACTATTTGTTATGACAATTTTATTGGCATGATTTGTGAAATGTGATTTTTACAACTAATTTATTGTTTACCTACACATATCTAACTAATTTCTAATTTGCTGCAAGTCTTTTCTCTAAAATTAAATTTAAGAAAAAATCTATTTATCACCCCAAAAGTGCAATAATAAATTGAGTTCATTAATCATCTAACAAAAAGACAAGAATATAAATACATGTCCCAAAAGCCACTGTAGGTACCTACACTTAGACTTAAATTAAAGAGTCATTCCTTGCATCTACTTGCATCTACTTGCATTCATTCATAAATTAAAAATTTTAAAATTTATGAACCCAAATGTATACAGTGACCACAAAAATTAACAAAAGACCATGAAAGTAACCTCTAAAATAAAAATAAACATCAAAAAATCTCTTTTCACAAATCATCCATTAAACACATTTATAATATCGATCCAAAAGAAAATAAGTCAAATAAGACATAAGCATGACTAGCCACATTTTAATTAAACATCGGATACCTAATTAAATAATGATTATCTGCGGAAAAATCGCAAATATTAAATACATTTCTTGCGACAGTCAGATAATAATGGACACTTGTTTAAATAACAAACAACATTTTTGTCATTTGTTTGTAGCAGTATTGCCGCGCTTGGTGAGTCACGTGTCATATATACATGACATGTGGCGTATAGATATGACAAGTGGCGTACCAACAACTATCGTGTCATATTTATCAAATAGAATGTCGATACGTGAACACGTGCGCTTATGTTAAACTATGTGTCTATCCACACGCTAGGTGTTTGTTTGCAAAAAATCTGCAAGATTTGATTGTCTTGCATAACTGCTTAATCATAAAACATAAGCATATACATTATCTTTACATATAATTTTAATACACTCACTATACTCGGAATTTTAATTCGATTCCAGATTTGACAATTTCAGTGTTGCAACGTAATGACAAGTACTAAATAGTGACGTTGCGAAATTATTCGATATAGAAATGCAATATTTCTGGATCGATTCTTCTCGTTACAGTTATAATTTTACTCTCGTAAGCTAAGTCTATCAGGAAATTAAATATATTTGAACCGATAGTTTCGTTTTGACGATTAAATAACGATCTGAACTTTTTTTTATAATTGTGTGTGAAATAAATAAAAAAATGTAAAACATGAAGGAACATGACAAATAAAACAGATAGATGTATTATGGTAATAAGTTATTTTATAAATTGTCGCCGTCATCGCTATCGCTATCCTGTCACTTTCTGTAACATTTATTATAAAAACACACACACTCATTGTTTACCGATTTTTGTGTTCATCACTACACTATTATATGTGGTATCATTATTTCACAAAATGACAGTAGCTATTGTCAAATCTGGAATCTAATTAAAATTCTGACTATAGTCAATCAAAATGGAAATGATCTATAAACAGTCAGGTGTCTTATTGAAGAAGATAATTATGAAGTTTGACAGAGAATCCAATATCTTGTTATTTCCTTTTTTTTGACGCCCATAATTTTTAATTTTTCCCCTCATATCCAATATAAGAATTATGAGTTTTCCGACATGCTTACACTCACAGCTTTAATGTGCTTGATAAGTTCTAATTTTGTTATGTTCATTGTGAATGTCCAGATTTTTTTTTATATAGGCATTTTAGTATTTTGGGAATTTTAGATAAATAAAAATTATGGGGGCACAATGTAGGTACATTTATGGCACTTATTTAATTTAGTCAGTCAATGAAATGGCATCTTGCAGTAGAAAATGTTAGTGTAGTTTTTGTGTCACACTAATAAGGCTATTTTTGATCTGATGATGGAGCCGAAATACAGTCGAGGGAACTCCTTGAAGATTTACAGCAACGACCCCGTGTTTGGGCTTAGATTATTTGTATTCGTGAGGACTTAACACTTACAAGTGTTAGTATCTGTGTAGTATGTTAGCATGTAGATTTTAATGCCCATGACATTTCACACAGGTTGATAATGCTTGGGCAAGTCACCTGCAATGAATTTGATCCTTGAGCCGTTGCAATAAGGTTCACATTTTGATCTTACTGCTTAGCCCCGCATGGTTTGGGTTCACGCTCACTAATTTTACTAATATTTTTTAAATACTGTTTTTGGAGTTCAGAATGATAAGAATATTTTAATAGTATTAAAAATTTATAAGCAACCGTCTTGTACCTTTAAAATTGCTAATTTATAAAAGATGGACTTTTCTCATAACATAGCTAAGTCCTGTGTTAGAGATGAAATAAATATGATTCTATAGAGGTAAATATATTTAATTATTTTAAAAATATCTTGAATTTAAGAACTCCCAAATACGGTATTTAAAATGTTAGGTATTTCTGGTTTTATTTTATTTGCCTATGTCGCATGTGTATTGTGTATCGAGTTCATTGTATTTGCAAGCACATGGAATTATTCCTAGACGTGTGCTAACTCCTAATAACAAATTAATAACAATAATCACCAATTGCTTTCAAATCGAGGTTAAAGCATAATTATAATTATAGAAAAAACATTACTATTTCGGATTATCAGGATTTGTAACTGTATGACAAAATAAAACATTTTATACAGCACCCATCCAATTATAAAGCTAAGCTTTATGCCCTTAGACAATGTTGCACAAAAAAATGAACAAAAAAAAAATTAAAATACATTATAGTCACTAGATTACATTATCTAATATAAAATAGTCATCCATACTAAGGTGATGGAAACAACTCCACACGCACATTTTCTATAGAAATCTTAATTAAAATTATATATTTTGTTGTTACAGCCGTGTTTCGAACCGAGATCAACTATAAGACCATCTTTACTAGACTCAAAACCAGGAAAGGAAGAAAAGAAGAATCTGATTGCAAATATGGAATATCCAGATGACCCATACTAACATTTTTTGTTATTCTTTGTGGCGTACAATACTTTGGCTATAACACTAAGGCACAATATATATAGGGAATTATTCAGAAAACATGGATTTTTTAAGCATTGCAGCTGAGGTTAAATTGAAAAGGTTTGGCCACTTTTTTATGATCAGACTGTAATGTCGGTGCTAATTTCTGTGGTGGATATTACTGCACAAAGTTATACTCTACTAACTTAACTAGGGTAAAGTTAAAGACTATTTTTTCTTGAGAAAACTTAACATTTCATATATAAACAAAGTGTATAAGAGAAAAAAATAAACACTGTCAAAAATTAAGTGGGAATGTTTTCCATTTACATTTTAAACTATGAGACCTTAAGAAAAGGTTCATAATTCATAATTACTTTTCTGTACTGAATATTCCTTATAGTATTGTGCTAAGGTTTACATATATGTGATATTCGATTAAGGATTGAGAAATATGACGCGAAAAACGATTACATTAATCTTTTACGTCGTCTGAGGGCTGTGCATGATTGCTAAAATCTGAGTGCATGGTAACTAGATTTTAGGTGTTATTATTTATTTGAGTTCAATGAGAACAGGCATATCGTGGATACGTAAACCTTATGGAACATTGCTAAAATTTACATTACATTACACATTGTTTGATTCACAAGGTGCCTTCCTGTTAACTTAGCGATTAACATTCTGTTTTGTTCCAAATAAATTTGAATAAAATGTGAATTTTAGCATAGTTCCTATGATGTAGGCATTTGAGTCAATTTTTCGTTATTTTTCTCCATTTCCAATATATCTTAAATCTCTATTTAAATTATTTTCAAAATGTCGATTCCTTTCTTTTCTTTATTGGTTAAGTTATAGTGACTTTGTGCCAAAGTTTATATCATTTTTTTATGAAATTTGTTGCTTCCTTACACGATAATGAAAGAATATGATCGGCTTCTAATAACGTGAAATGGTCTCGAAATGAAAGATAATGTAGCATTTATAAATTATGAAAAATAGTGTACTTGAAATATGGGTGCAGATTTTTTGTTATTATTTTCTAATTTACTGTTACCAAATTTTTTTGAATAATTATTATGAGTTCTTTTATTTAATTAATAACAATTTTTTTGATCATTTTCGACATGTCATCGTAGAAAATTCATTGAAAATTATCAACAAAAAGTAATTAGTTGAATGGGTTGTATTGTACGTCTTTTTAACCGACTTGGAAAATGAGGTTGCTTTGAGACTTAAGTTTCTTATTCCGTTTTGTGTTCAATATTTAAATCCAACAACTTTGAATTTTTACAGGCTCTTTTGAATATTTTACTGCCAGTGTGAAAAATGGGTTATGTTGTAAAAAAAAATTATTCCTAAACGAAAAAATGCGACTGTAAACAATTGTAAAAATAACTGTTCCAGTTTAGAGGATGATCATTCTTAATTTTCATGAACTTAGGATTATTTTTGACGACCAAAAAAGAAAATTTTGACAATGAAAATTATCTAGGATCATCTCAAAAAGTGAATTTGTTAATCTAGGAACGCTAAACTTAAGGTTCAATTTTCCAATCATCATTAATAAATAAATTTTATAAACCTGACCAAATTAAAAAGAATGCAATAAAAATTGAAGTTATTCCGACATTTTATATAATTATATTCTAATTAAATTATCTGATGATTGCAAAAATGAACCTTAAAGACTTGAAATATCAAGAAACGTAAAAAATATTATTTTCCATATATTTTGCGGGATTTTAAGTTTCAAAGGTCACATAAACTTGCCGTATTAATGTCAAGACTGTGGCTCAAAAGAATTAGTACAGTCAGCGACGATAAAAACTGTTGTTATGAAAATAGGACGTCAAAGGTTGTTCATTTAGTTTGTAATTATTGTATGAAATCAACTATACCGACTGCTTACAAATTAAAATTTTTATTTTGCCAAATATGTGAAAAAATTGAGTGAGAAATTATTATATTGGTCGGCAATAATATCACACTTGATGTTTAGATCAAGATTACTCGGTTTTGAAAAGAATTGTGCCTTTTGGCTATAATTGTTAGCTGATTGTCTTTAACTCAGTGTGTAATATTGAACTATATTTAAAATGGCTTTGTGGGCAGTGTGAATAGTTTTTTCAGAAGCAAGGTGCCTCACTTCTCGATTTAAACTAAGCTTAGGACTACAGACTTGCAACGGCTTTTTTATAATTTTATTAAACGACGCATGCGTGGTATAATTCATACCATTTAGTTTGTTAGTGATGTGCCAATAAGTCCGTAGTCCCAGGTTCAAGGCTCAGGTCGTTCTGAACGATGGAACCGTTTAGCTTTTAGTGTAAGAATTTGCGTTCCTATAGATAATTCTAAAATATATATTTATCAGAGTACCTCAATATAGATAAATAATTTATTGAAAGTGAAATATTTTATTTAGGGAATTTGCGAATTAGTGACATATATTATTATAATAGTTCAGTGGTAGAATAAGAAAAATGATTATTTGGTTATTGGTTGTATTATTTTGGTGCTGTACTTTCTTTGTTAGCACAGAATCTCAAGTTGTGAAAAAATTGTACTTATTATTGATTTCAATTCAAAACTTCTGTTACTATTGTAAATGACGTGTGAAAAAAAAACGCCTTAGAAAAGATTTTTGATATCAAATCATCAAAAAAGTTTAACATATTTTTATCAAATTGCAGAACATATTTAAACATGTTATGTCATTCTACACCTTATAACCTTAGTAACAAACTTGATAATGCAATACAAAAATCTTTAACTAGGCGTTGAATCAAAATATTCAGTTGTACTTACAATTTCCATACTTTTTAATACTTGACTGTACTTAAATTCCAACTTAGCAGCTACCTTACATAAACAAAGGCACCATACTTAATTTTTTTCCTATATTGGTGGTACTTAGACAATTAGAAATTTATTATTTTTGTAGTTAGTTTAGATTTAGTCGTGGATTGATAATATCCACATGAGAAATGTGATATTATTGAGTCTTTGTATAAGCCTAAGTTAGTGAATATTGTGATTAAATAGTAATATTATAATAAATTAAAAGAGCTTGCATAAATAATTGTTTCATTTTCGTATCAACCTATCGATATTTAAACAATCAAGACAATATAACTTACTCGCATCTCTCAGAGGTGGGTGCTCGATAAGTTTCGAGACACGACTGGGGCTCATAACCATGAGCGCCATGTACGACGATAGACGTAGGAGGCAAATGGCTGCGCAATGTCGACCTTTTCGGATCTCACACTCACTAGAACTTTATTACATTTGAAATAAAACCTGTTTTCGCTTGACAACTTCATTTATTTTATAGACAAGAAGATACAAACGGTTTTGTATGGTCGATTTGGTCTGAGAACAGTTTAATTGGTATAAACTTAAAATCACATACTACATAATAGGTGAGGTGAGAGATTGATAGATATTGTCTAGTAATACATTTGCAAAAGCTTTGCTCTTTGTCACAGTCACATAGAAAGTCGAAAGTGTACTTCTTTGTTATGCAATACAATCTCTAATATTAATTTCCGATAGAAGTCTCAACTAGTATTTCTAAAAATATAAAATCTTACGTGAAAATTAATGTCTCATAATAGTCAACAACTGATATTCTGAAACACATACAAGGCACATAACCCTATAATCTCATATTTAGTTTTAATAAATCTCAATTTTGATATACTACACTTACGTACTTACTAACTTAAGCACTGACAGTTATATCCTGTGGCGACGGTGATAAGTTACCCAAGAAACGAAAAATCTCACCCATATAATATACTAAACAATATCTATATACCTCAGAAACCTCCACACAACGTACAAATCATAACAAATGTATAATTAATCAGTATGTTTTACACAACCGTCGTCCAAGCATAAATAACTTAGGTACCTAGTTGAACAATTATCACATACAATAAATACTTCTTGGTCTAACAATGTAAATAAAATTCACATTTTTATAAAGCAACTATGATATTACGTAATATGTTCTCATATATATCTATATATTAATATATGGGTGTAAGGGGAACGCTTCCACAAAACGAAGACATTTTTTTTTATTATTACACTTTTAATCGTTTTATTTTCGTGTTATTCATTCAATATCAGCCTTGAGCAGTTGATTACAACTATTATTACATTAAATAAACATTTATATATTAACTTTTTTTTAAATTAACTCGTCGAGTACCGGTTTTGTAGACACAATTATAGAACAATAGGTTGCGGTCATCGGTGACCTGTCAAACACCCTCGTTTTACCATCATCTGTCTTCGTTTTTTAAAAGCGTTCTCCTTCCACCCTACAGATACAACGACTAGGCATGATATACCACGACACTTTACATACATACATAATGTATACTATTATACTAAAGACAGCAAAACTATTATATGGGGACCACAGATAGAAACTAGGCATAGCATCAAAATTATATGCAGTGGGCACTTTTTTTTAGTGGAGAAAATCATCCACTGACTTCGCCCGCCTTGGGTAAGGCGAGAATAATTGAACATAATAAATTTACAAAGCCTTATACAATGTATATATTTAGAATATCTATTTATAGGATAAACTTTACAATTGTTTTATATTTGGTCAATTTATGAAATGAATTACTTTTGTTATATTTTTTTAATACTTTATACAATGTGGCATACATAAAATAAATAATATTGTGACCAAAGGTGATATTAATGTTACATAACTATCGTGTACAATTGTCTAAGTAAATACAAGTATTTATAGCTATTTTTGTCGTTATGCACCTGCTACATGTATATAAACACCGTTTTATATAGTACTAGCGACCCGCCCCGGCTTCGCACGGGTGCAATATGCATGTATTATACATATAAACCTTCCTTAAGAATCACTCTATCTATTAAAAAAAACCGCATCAAAATCCGTTGCGTAGTTTTAAAGATCTAAGCATACATACGGACATACAGCGAAAGCAACTTTGTTTTATACTATGTATTGATTAGATATCTAATTGTTATACAGAAAGCATATTATCAATTTCATAAATTGTAGTTCATGTTCTTTATGTAATATAAAATGCAACAATGACAATGTCTTTAAACGAGGTACTATATTGCGAACACATTTTATTATGCAAAATTACATGAAGAATGGAGAAGTACCTATATGATATACTAAGAATTAATAATCTCGTAAGAAATAGTATATATTACGTCTAAATACATAATATTTATATATTATGTGCGTAGCTTTTATAGCAATATATATTAAGATATTAAAGTAACTTTACTTTATGTATATTTGTTTAAAAATAGTGGTATTCGAGCCTTTACCATAGGTAAACAGACAAATATATTTACTATAATAATATTTAATAAATTAACAAAAGAATATGGTAAAGTTTAATTTAAACTGACTTATATTTAGCCTACCTGTCGGAGCGAGCTCGATAAGGGCTTCAGATTAAGTACATTTTCATTTAAGTGAAATGGACTGTCTATAATAAATATTCTTCATGAATTTTCAAACAAACTTAACAATTAAAGTCAAGTTACAAACGATTAAAACTTATTAAGTCAACACATTTTTCGACTTATTAGCGTAAATACACATGCTAATTTCAATATGCATGGGCGACAAAGGCTCGATACTTTAACAAATAAATAAATAACAAACAGCCAACGTTTTATTGAGAGATTATTATGACATAACACATTGCACACATTAATTTCTATTGCACCCATATCTACTTAAAAGGGAATCGACTACTCGATAAACCCCTTAAAATGTGATGAAAACATATAGAAAATAATACTACGTATGTAAAAAAGAAACTGTAAAACAATAAATTATGTATATACCTCGTATTGCTACCAGGAATGTCAATAGAACATAATTATATATAATTTACGAGTTGTCAGAGCAAAAAAGTAAGTCTTATATATAGATAATAAATATAACTAATAAAGTCTGCTTAACTAAACCCTGCCAATTTATGTTGAAAGTCAGAATTGTGAAAATTATATTATTATTATTAGCTAATTTTAAATTATGCGTGTTAATGACTAAAGCTATGTTACACGTACTTACGCACAGCTTTTTACGTTATGTGATGGTGCAGATCAATTTGTTTTCATTGGTTCTGGAACAATAAATATATAAAGTCAACGTCAACCAATACATAATAAATAATAGTCTGTCAGTCTGTCCGTCAGTGAAGCTAGGTGAAGCTAGGTGCTCATTCCAAAATGTATATTCGAATGCTCTTTTTAAAAAAAGCATGTTCTACAATGTCTCTGATCGTAATATTGTACGAATATGTGAAAACAATGCAAAGACATGCTTGACGCATTATACAAATTCAATAGAATTAATAGAATATTATATACAATATTCAATCAGTTGAATTAAACACATTTTTTATTGTGTATAAAATAGTCATGATAGATGAAATTGTACAAACCGAATTGCTATAAGAAAATCACTATTGCTTTCATGAAAATACACTTTCCTTTCCTTGCCAATTTATAGCGAGAAAATCATAAATGAAAGTAAAAACAAATATTAAAGGACAGACAACACGCTTGCTCAATGCGGGTTGGAAATTCAAACTTATAATTGGGTACTTGCCATCTAGTCAAATTCAATACTTTTTTCGAACCGTCAAAAACTACTGCTTTCTATGAATTTTTACGAGATTGTGTATTGTGACGTCACGTTTTTTAAGCGTGAAGCAACATACTTATTTCTTAAAAAAGTGCTGGAAAAATACTATAATTAAGTTGGTCATTAAATCAATCAATTAAAGTGTGATTATTTTTTAATATTCTATTCTATTGAACAGTCGAAACAATTTATTTTTGATTCAGGAAAGTACCAAATTCGAAATTATATTCCCAGGTTTCCTCACAATGTTTTCCTTAATCGTGTGTCTAAATAATCTTAGAAAGTATATATTACTCGGAAAAAGTACAAGTAGGTAAGTACAAGTACCAATGTGACTCTGTGACCAACCTACCTGACTTGCCGTTGGAATTTCGAACCCGCACTCTGATGCATGAGAAGCGGGCGTCTAAATAATTATAATTAGTATGAACACCCCTACCACTTACCGTGATCGTTAAGTAACGCAGCTAACTCAGCGACTCGATCTCGATGCGAATACATATACATTTGCGCTTCCCATAGCATAGTGACTAAGATTTCATCGTTTTTCTCGTCCATAGCGACGTCTTTCGACATTTGTGGACAGAACCGGTAGTAGGGCACTCCGACTGCACTACACCACGCTCGTGCTCGGTCTACTACACGACCATCTGATTGTGTCGCCTGTAAAATCGAATAAAAAATTACATTATGAATTTTACTTTGTTTAAAATATGGTTTAATATGCATGTTGTTTTTTTAGGTTTAACTGTCTTATTTAAACTTGTGAAAAGGCAGCGGAGATGTCACAGTCGAAAAAATTACTAGATAATATGTTTAGTCGACTCCTCAGC